GTTTGATTGGAAGCTCGACTCTGCTCATTTTCGCGGCTCCTCCTCTGGCTCCATCAGACAATCCTTCTGCGCATGTCTGGCTCCAATTTCAGCAGTCTTTTGCGACAGTTTGTGCCCGTCAAGCAGGCGTTTTGCCCTCAAGGCGTTCAATGGGAAAAAGGGCTGTCGCGTCGTCCATATTTTTTACAGTCATTGTGTCTTTCCCACGATTAGATTGCAGCATCTTAAAGTCTGCACTGGAAGTCTCTCTCTGCCATTGCTCCTTTTAGCAAGAGCACCCTATTGAAACAGGAACAGTAAAGATTCACAATTAGAGTAGTAATACTCTATAACTGGATTTGAATATAATAACAACAACAACGTGGGGTCTGGTGTGATGGAATCAGTAACTTTCACTCTTTTGTGAAACAACAGTTACCTTGTAATCAGGTGCTTAAATGCATCGCAGCTGGCTGCCGTAAGGAGAAGACTTCAAATGCCTTGAGGTGTGCTCAAATAGAGACAGAACTGTGGTTGACAGGAAGGTGGGAGTGCTTCCTAATCTGGTATTAAGGAGGTCTCTTTCTTTGTGGAGGAGCTCCAGCTAGGCATGGCTAAATTGAACTGATTTCCCAGAGCTGTTGCGCTACTTGAAACAAGTTGGTGTCGAAACTGCTCAGGGAAAGGTAGCGTGGCCGAGCGGTCTAAGGCGCTGGATTAAGGCTCCAGTCTCTTCGGGGGCGTGGGTTCGAATCCCACTGCTGCCAGGCAGTCTTTTTAGGATGCTTGAGAATGACCTCTCTGCTTGAGCAAACAGACTTGCGAAGAGATGCTGCATGCTTCCGCTCGCATCCAAATGTAGACTCCTTGGCCAAAGTTGAAGGGCTTCACTAGGAAGCTCTGCGTCCTCTCTGCTGTTCTGCTTCCGTAAAATTGGGCAGAAAACGGACCACTGCATGAATTCATCTAGGGTAGTGTGGCCGAGGGGTCTAAGGCGCTGGATTTAGGCTCCAGTCTCTTCGGGGGCGTGGGTTCAAATCCAGATTGCAGCATCTTAAAGTCTGCACTGGAAGTCTCTCTCTGCCATTGCTCCTTTTAGCAAGAGCACCCTATTGAAACAGGAACAGTAAAGATTCACAATTAGAGTAGTAATACTCTATAACTGGATTTGAATATAATAACAACAACAACGTGGGGTCTGGTGTGATGGAATCAGTAACTTTCACTCTTTTGTGAAACAACAGTTACCTTGTAATCAGGTGCTTAAATGCATCGCAGCTGGCTGCCGTAAGGAGAAGACTTCAAATTCCTTGAGGTGTGCTCAAATAGAGACAGAACTGTGGTTGACAGGAAGGTGGGAGTGCTTCCTAATCTGGTATTAAGGAGGTCTCTTTCTTTGTGGAGGAGCTCCAGCTAGGCATGGCTAAATTGAACTGATTTCCCAGAGCTGTTGCGCTACTTGAAACAAGTTGGTGTCGAAACTGCTCAGGGAAAGGTAGCGTGGCCGAGCGGTCTAAGGCGCTGGATTAAGGCTCCAGTCTCTTCGGGGGCGTGGGTTCGAATCCCACCGCTGCCAGGCAGTCCTTTTAGGATGCTTGAGAATGACCTCTCTGCTTGAGCAAACAGACTTGCGAAGAGATACTGCATGCTTCCGCTCACATCCAAATGTAGACTCCTTGGACAAAGTTGAAGGGCTTCACTAGGAAGCTCTGCGTCCTCTCTGCTGTTCTGCTTCCGTAAAATTGGGCAGAAAACAGACCACTGCATGAATTCATCTAGGGTAGCGTGGCTGAGGGGTCTAAGGCGCTGGATTTAGGCTCCAGTCTCTTCGGGGGCGTGGGTTCGAATCCCACCGCTGCCAGATGTGGTTTTAAACACAGCCAAACTGCTTGAGTGTGTGCGCGTTAGCAGTGAACGCTGGAAGTGAGAGAGTAAATTTAAGTCGTCAGTATAATGTGTTCTTTGAAACTCACGGCAGACTCGTTGGTGTGACAGCAACACATCCCCAAGCTCGAATCTGCTCAGGAGCAAGTGTCTTTCCCACGATTAGATTGCAGCATCTTAAAGTCTGCACTGGAAGTCTCTCTCTGCCATTGCTCCTTTTAGCAAGAGCACCCTATTGAAACAGGAACAGTAAAGATTCACAATTAGAGTAGTAATACTCTATAACTGGATTTGAATATAATAACAACAACAATGTGGGGTCTGCTGTGATGGAATCAGTAACTTTCACTCTTTTGTGAAATAACAGTTACCTTGTAATCAGGTGCTTAAATGCATCGCAGCTGGCTGCCGTAAGGAGAAGACTTCAAATGCCTTGAGGTGTGCTCAAATAGAGACAGAACTGTGGTTAACAGGAAGGTGGGAGTGCTTCCTAAGCTGGTATTAGGGAGGTCTCTTTCTTTGTGGAGGAGCTCCAGCTAGGCATGGCTAAATTGAACTGATTTCCCAGAGCTGTTGCGCTACTTGAAACAAGTTGGTGTCGAAACTGCTCAGGGAAAGCAGCTTTGTAAGTTAGCGTGGCCGAGCGGTCTAAGGCGCTGGATTAAGGCTCCAGTCTTTTAGGGGGCGTGGGTTCGAATCCCATCGCTGCCAGGCAGTCCTTTTAGGATGCTTGAGAATGACCTCTCTGCTTGAGCAAAAAGACTTGCGGAGAGATACTGCATGCTTCCGCTCACATCCAAATGTAGACTCCTTGGACAAAGTTGAAGGGCTTCACTAGGAAGCTCTGCGTCCTCTCTGCTGTTCTGCTTCCGTAAAATTGGGCAGAAAACGGACCACTGCATGAATTCATCTAAGGTAGCGTGGCTGAGGGGTCTAAGGCGCTGGATTTAGACTCCAGTCTCTTCGGGGGCGTGGGTTTGAATCCCACCGCTGCCAGATGTGGTTTTAAAGGGCCATGAAACCCCCTCTTTTCAGCAGGGTGTTTTCACACCTCTACTTTGGAAAAAGTCAGAAAAGTGGGCGTGTCTAGCTCTGTTTAGGGGGGGAGTGTCAGAGGAAGAAACTTGGCTTGGTATGGGAGTATCTATTTGGGCGCGCTGAATTTCAGAGTCAAAACACACACCCACAGCGGACAATGTGACTGTGTTTACATGGACATCTGTAGTCGAATTATTTGCCAAATTATTAAATGGTGGACTTTAACTGCAGTTTGGCTCTTTCATTCAGGGAATTCATTCATGTCCCTTGCGACAAACGAGATATTTGATTCGAGGAACTGCTCTAAGCGTGTATTTGTCATGCAATGTTTGATACCGCACGGCGAATGAGAGAAAAAAAAAACTCAGCATTTCCCGGAAACTTGGATGCACACGGCAGGTAGCATCAGAAAGCCGCGTGTGTTATTCCGGTCACACAATCCAACACAAGTTTATAGTTTGGTTGTAACTGTTAGTGCAAACTTGTTTACACTCGGTGCAATAGTTTGTTTGATACGAATAAAATACGAACTGAATAAACAAAGAGCACTGGTCGCTCACTTACCAAATCTGTAGAGACAGGACAATCACCAGCAACAAGAGCCGCGTCTTTATTTAGAGGAGACTAACGTTACAAGCGAATCCGGTGCCCGCAAATCCGGCTGTGTCCGCATACGCTGTTAGCGGATACGCTTCGTGGAGGGGGAACTGGAATTCCAGAAGGGAACAGAATCGACTGCTACACCGGATCTCAGCGTTAGCAGATCAGAACAGCTCTCAGGTAAACAATAATCCTCCTTAGACACGTAAGTTATTGTTGTCGCGCGTCGCGTACACTTAATCCACACGAGTCTGCGCTCTCACAGAGAGAAAATAAAAACGAAACTTAACTGCAGCAAACTATAAAAGCAACACTTCACGCTTGTTTTGCCAACACAACGTGGCGTCTTTGTCGTCTACACTCTGACAGTAATGAATATTAATGAAGTTGCACAATAGAGCGCGCTGATTGGTTTGAACCAAGCCTTACTCATGCATTAATGCATCACACTGTAAGACGTAATAAGACTCACTCTGGCACAGACGCCCAGTCTGCACGCTGGAATACAGGCTATTATGTCATGACCGTGACGCAGCTTAAAAAATTCGTTTCAAACCGGAAGTACGAATTTGCTTGAAATAACGCAAAAACAACCAATTTACACTTTTTAGTGAAATATAAGTGTCCTAATAGTGTTTTTAGCAGTGTGGGACACATATACGACTGTCAACAGCTCAAAAAATGTGTTTTGGTGTTTCGTGACCCTTTAAACATGGCCAAACTGCTTGAGTGTGTGCACGTTCGCAGTGAACGCTGGAAGTGAGAGAGTAAATTTAAGTCGTCAACTAGTCAGTATAATGTGTTCTTTGAAACTCACGGCAGACTAGTTGGTGTGACAGCAACACATCCCCAAGATCGAATCTGCTCAGGAGCAAGTGTCTTTCCCACGATTAGATTGCAGCATCTTAAAGTCTGCACTGGAAGTCTCTTTCTGCCATTGCTCCTTTTAGCAAGAGCACCCTATTGAAACAGGAACAGTAAAGATTCACAATTAGAGTAGTAATACTCTATAACTGGATTTGAATATATTAACAACAACAACTTGGGGTCTGCTGTGATGGAATCAGTAACTTTCACTCTTTTGTGAAATAACAGTTACCTTGTAATCAGGTGCTTAAATGCATCGCAGCTGGCTGCCGTAAGGAGAAGACTTCAAATGCCTTGAGGTGTGCTCAAATAGAGACAGAACTGTGGTTGACAGGAAGGTGGGAGTGCGTCCTAAGCTGGTATTAAGGAGCTGTCTTTCTTTGTGGAGGAGCTCCAGCTAGGCATGGCTAAATTGAACTGATTTCCCAGAGCTGTTGCGCTACTTGAAACAAGTTGGTGCAAAAACTGCTCAGCGAAAGCAGCTTTGTAAGGTAGTGTGGCCGAGCGGTCTAAGGCGCTGGATTAAGGCTACAGTCACAACAAGAAATAACGACTGATGAAAAACCCACACTCACTAAAAAGACTTTATCACGTGGAAGATCTCGGAAATCCAAGTCTAGGTGTAATTACAGCTGTAAACAGAGTAAAAAGAGTTTCTGTCAAAAGCCAAACCTTGATGTTCACACTAGAAAGAAACCTTACACCTGCAAACAGTGTGGAAAAAGCTTCTATAATACAGGAAACTTAACAGTGCACATGAGAATTCACACTGGAGAGAGGCCGTACACATGCCAACAGTGTGGAAAAAGCTTCTATTCTACAGGAAACTTGGCAGTGCACAGAAGAATTCACACTGGGGAGAGGCTCTACTCTTGCCCTCAGTGTGGAAAGAGTTGTAAGCAAAATGGCAATCTTGAAACCCACATGAGAACACACACTGGAGAGAGAAGCTTTATTTGCACACAGTGTAGGAAAGGTTTTTCTCAAAAACAAAACCTTACCATCCACATGAGGATTCACACTGGAGAGAAACCTTACACATGCACAGAGTGTGGTAAAAGTTTCCCACATACAGGCTCACTCAAACACCACATGATAAGTCACACCGGACAGAAGCCGTTTGCATGTGTTCAGTGTGGAAAGAGCTTCACAACCAAAGCTAGCCTCATGAACCACATGAATGGTCACACTGGAACCACATGTGATCATTGTGGAAAGAGTCTCGCATGCAAAGACTCCATTAAGCAACACATGAAGACTCACTTAGGAGAGCGTTTTCGATGCAGTGAGTGTGGAAAGGTCTTTAAACATAAAAGAAGCCTCATCAATCACATGAAGCTTCACAATGGAGAGAAAATATGAGGCCTTGTCCAGCGGAGCTTAAGGCTTTCCCGGGATAGCATCTCGGGACAAGTGTAAACTCTTGAATACATCTCAAGTTACTGGAATGAAACCCTTTGAACCTGAAGATTTAAACTCAATAACTGAAGAGGGGTGAAGATGTACCAGATTGTGAGAGTTTCTACAGGGCTGCAATGAAGCAAAATAACTCTATATGTGTTTCAAGTTATTATGAACTGAGAACCAAATTTGTGCACATTGCACACTGCAATCAAATGGTCGGCACTGAAAAGAGAATTAGAAAGATTAGGGAGGAGAAAATGTTTGGGGAGATTCAGAGAAAACTGTCCTACACTCTTAGATTGTGTTTTTGATCGTTCACATTGTTTGATTTTTACTCCCTTGAACAAACAGATTTGCCTCCAATTTTGGGCTTTTGTCTGCAGTGTCACAAAACTTGTTGGTGAATCGGCCGGTGTAAACTTGCAGTGACAGTGAGAGACTGATGCAGACTCCATAAAGCCCTGTTCAGACTACACAATGCCATTTGCCAGTTACCACAGATCAGATTTGTGTCAGATTATGAGATTTTGACTTGATTAAATCTTGATGAGTTGTGGGTAACAAATGAAGACTTTGGTTTCAAAACACTACACATTTATTTTGATGGACTGATTTTAGAAAATAAAAAAGTTTTCCTCATGAAGACAATTAAACTTTCTGTAAACAACTGGTTACCTTTGAAGAGATGTTCATGTGAAAACTCCCACATTACTACAAATAAATCTGTGTATGGGAAGCCCAGTGTTGCTATTGTGAATGAGAATATGAGTGATTTGTTAGCTTACATGCTAATTCCAGTACTCAACAGATTACTGAAGCACTTCAGCTATCTGTTTATTCAAATTCTATATATATATATATATATATATAATTTGAATGAACTGATAGCTGAAGTGCTTCAGTAATCTGATACTGGGTTTCCCACCTAGCATTGCTGTTAGTAATAGTAGTCACACACACACATGTATATATATATATATATATATATATATATATATATATATATATATATATATATATATATATATATATATATATACACACACACACATATGTGTGTGTGTGACTACTATTACTAACAGCAATGTTAGGTGGGCAAAATAAAACTGAAAAAGGATAGTTTTTTTTAAAACTAGTATGGGTCTATAAATCTCATTGTCACCCTTTAAAAGGTTTAAAAACCAACATTTATAAATTTATATATTTATGAATGAAGAATTTTTTGCAAAGCATAAATGGTTATTAACTACTTAATGCTGTGTACAATTTTCTTTAGTCACATTAAATTTAACTCGTTTATTGCAAAAAGGGTTTACATGAATATTGACATGAGACATGAATATATGCAATTCAAGAGTTTCCACTTAGATATGCTTGGCACTTATAGCAGGTTTGGCATGCTGTCCCGGGAGAGAACCCTGAGCTCGGAGATATTTGAGCCCAGGGCTCCCGCCCGGTCTAGAAGCATATCAGGAGAACCGAGATCAGGTAGGTCTCGATCGCTCCCCCTTTAGAAGGAGAGAAAAAGGAGGAGATGGGGTGGAAGGGGGGATTCTTCCAAAATGAAGATAGTGCAATGGGGAGAAAGTGATCCATTTATACTAAGCTAGGATCATTCTAATTGGATTATTACTGATTACGGATGAGTGGCCAGCGGTGCACAATCATATCACGTGCTCCTCTCGAAATTAGTTTATTAAACTTCACTTATAAAAAACATGCTCAGTGTTTTCAATATGAATTCTTTTGATGGATACACATCATCAATCATTTAAACTAAAGTTCTTTAATTTTGGGGAGAATTGAAAAAGAAATGTAACTTGTCTTATTTTTCTAATTCCTGTGAATTAAAATCTTTAAAAATAAACGAGGTCTGAGCTGATTATGATGAAGCCTTTGAATAAGAATATTCATTTAAAACTTATTATTACATTTTGGATCTCTAAAAATAAAGATGGAAGAGAGAACATTACAGAATAGTGTGAAAGAAAACCTCTGATCAATACTGTGATGTTTTTAGGGATAATATTAATTATTGTTTTAAACTCTTTAGGGTGACAAGCAAAACCCTGTTTAAAGAATGGGTTGAATAATTTTAATTAACAAAAAGATTGTCATTTCAAGTTAAAAAATCAAATGTGATTATAATCTATTTTAACAAGTTTCCATTTAATTTTGATGAGATGACCAGCACCAAAGCCACTCCTTCCCCCTTCTCCATCAATAGAATATCCACCTGTTACCTCAGATGCAACTGAGCTTTTACTATAGCTCCGACTTTGATTTTGGCCACAACCAGCATCAGCAGTACCACCAGCTCCACTGGAAACATGTACAGAGATGCTGAAGCACTGGGAGCCACTGGACAATATACCACATGTCCCCTCAAACTACTTAATACAGTGATCTTTTTTTTAGCTCTGCACAGTTGCCAGACATTCAGAATCGCTCCCCAGTAAACATCAGAAACAGGTGGGTTCAACAAAGGTTGTACAACAAATAGTTGTAAATATTATAATATACAGCCCCTTTAAAAGTTTGGAATATTTTATAATGAGCTTATTGTGCTCACTAAAACGTTATTGGATTTTTAAATCACTGTTCTTTTATTAAATGTTCTTTAAAATATAATTTATTCACGTTTAAGCCTGAATTGTACGCATGATTAGTCTTCAGTGTCATGATTATGGAGGCCCAAGAGTACGGTGGCCGGGAAGTGCAAAACAACATAAAGTTTGAAACACTTTTACAAAGCTCGAGACAAATTTACATTTTGAAAAACATGTTTACCTATCATCAGACACAATTACATAGGGAAAACAATTTTACCAAGGACGAAACAAATTTACATTTTAGAAAACAAATTAACAAGGCGCAAAACACTTTTACAAATCCCGAAACAAATTTACAATTACAGATTCCCTACGGAGAGGGAATGTACCACACCCCGGAAGTGACGTAGAATGTACCACACACCGGTAGTGACGCGGGGTAAAGTTGTTGTTGTTGCTGGTGAGCACGGTAAATTCGCGCTGTGGAGTACATGGCGTAAACAAAGTTTATGGTGACCGAACATGGACAGCGGTCGAGGGTTGTTTTGCCCGTTTTGTGGCAAACACATGAGCAGCTTAACACGGTTTTGCTTTGCAAGTGGTCGGTGTTTAGAGTTTATAAAGGACGCGGAACAGACGGAAACACCAGACATGCTGCATCAATGTGTTCAATATTTTTATGAGATCCACTCGTACGCTGTAATCGTGAACATGATGTCAAGTCTACATGGTGTAAACCTCTGCTTGAGGACTCTGAACAGTAAACTGATGGAAGCCTGTGTTATGGTTTAACTGGTGTCCGTGTTAACTGAGGCCCCCTTTCAGATGTGCAAACTATCCACGTTTGCAGATTGACAGATTCGTCACTTTTTCACAGCAACATGCCATACCAAATAAAGATTCTTATTACTTGGTGTCAGTGTAAACATTGTTGATTCAATATTTGTGTGGCAGAACAGCATAAACCAAAATTAATCTAAAGAAATAAATATAAATGACATGTCATCAACGGGATTCAAACCCAAGTCACAAGGTTCTACATGAGTATCAACCGATTTATCCAACCGAGCTACTCCACTGTACGAGTTAAACTTGGTTTTGTTATCTTATCAGTCAACAAGTGTTTCCATGTACTTGCATTTACATGTTTCTATGCACTCTTACGCTGATATTTTCTCAGAATAGCCCTAATATGTTTTATCACAGTTAGTCAAACCATGATTTTTATAGTTGTAGACTTGTGGTAACTTGTCTACAAAGTCACACACGAGCTGGATATTATTGATATTTTACAGTGTGTGTGTTACATTCCGGTTCACTACCAGTGTGTGGTACATTCTATGTCACTTCCGGGGTGTGGTACATTCCCTTTCCGTAGGGAATCTAATTGTAAATATGTTTTGGGATTTGTAAAAGTGTTTTGCGTCTTGTTAATTTGTTTTCTAAAATGTACATTTGTTTCGTTCTTTGTAAAATTGTTTTCCCTGTGTAATTGTGTCTGATGATAAGTAAAAGTGTTTTTCAAAATCTAATTTTGTCTCGAGCTTTGTAAAAGTGTTTCAAACTTTATAATGTTGTTTTTGCACTTCCCGGCCACCGTACAAGAGTGCTAGTTAGAAAATCCAAGACTCAAATGATCAATTTAATTATTGAAGTACAAAAATGTCTTCATTTTCTTGTCGGCTTAGTCCCTTTATTAATCTGGGGTTGCCACAGCGGAATGAACCGCTTTTTACGCAGCGGATGCCCTTCCAGCTGCAACCAGTCTCTGGTAAACACCCACACACACATTTACACACACACACTCATACACTATGGACAATTTAGCCTATCCAATTCACCTGTACCGCATGTCTTTAGACTGTGGGGGAAACCGGAGCACCCGGAGGAAACCCACATGAATGCAGGGAGAACATGCAAACTCCACACAGAAACGCCAACTGAACCGAGGCTCGAACCAGCGACCTTCTTGCTGTGAGGGGACAGCACTACCTACTGCGCCACCCAGCATAAAAATGTACATAAATAAATCACAATTTAAATGTTTTTAAATGTCATTTAATTATCAATAAAACAATGCATTACAAATACATTTTAAATATATAAATAGACACTTTTATTACTGTATTATTATTTAATCCATGTTTTAAAGGCTGATTAATCAAACAGTAAAAAATTGTATTAATAAATCACAAAACACATTTTAAACAGCTTTTTAAA